ACACACACACACACACACACACACACACACACACACACACACACACACACACACACACACACACACACCTTGCTGTATCTGACTTGTTTTCTCACCAGACAGACCGAACCCTGAAGCAAACCACACTAGCCGTCAACTAACCACACTAACCTCTTCAAGAAATATTTGGACGAACCAAAACCAAAGGCTGGTTTGGTTTATCCTCGGGGAGAGAAAAAAAGCCACAAACTATCCTGAGCATGAGAGGGAGAGGAAAAGATATGAGTGAATGTGGCTGTGAAAATTATCCTCAAAACCTAATCTGGGACCAGCTGTTTTTCATACAAGACCGTCAGTGCCAGACCTTTAAGAGACAGACCTCATAACCTCTTCTGCTGCTACAATTAAACCACAAGCTTCATTCAGGCTAACGGTACACAGTGTGGAAAGTTCTGTTTCTTCCCTTTGAGTGGTTTGAGATCCACTCAGTTAGTCCCCCTTGGTGATGGATGACAAACTGCAAGCATCAACAAGCATCAGACCCATGGTGGTGCAGGGTTCTTTCATTAGCAGCTAGTTTACTGGTGGCAGATTAGTTTAATCTCTGGCTGAATGTTTACAAAGATGCTTTGGTTGCAACCCCACAGGTAAGCCCTCAGATTCACGAGCATCAGTGTTGAGTAGCTTATTGCTGATGCATTCACCCAGCCACCACCAGTTAAAAGATGTGAAGCCAAACATCCTCAGGCTGGTGGATGTAACTGAAGGGTCTCAGGAGGCTCTAAAGGCTCTTAGGGTTAGAGGCTAAGAATGCACAAAACCTTAAAACCAACCTGATTGTCATTGGCTACTACATGTCAGCACTTTTGAAAATATGTAATGACCAGATATGGTTACCTATGGTTACCTATCCACAAGAGATGAAGATCAGGAAGAACAGTGTCGATTGAAATCAACAAGTCATCGAGACAAAAGAAAAAAATGTCTTCAACACTGCGGTTCACCAATAACAGTGGTGGTCAGCTGTGGAATATAAAGCTCTGCCAGCCTTGTAACCAGAGTGAGTTTGTTGATACTGAATGGAGTCTGTGTTCAGACCGACAGCAGAATTGTGCCACAAATCACAGCCTCCTCCTTCATATCGATCAGACTGCTGTGATGACACAACAGCGGGATGGATGCAGAGGCTGTGGCCAAAGCAACGCAGCACAAATGTTGAACCCGACTAAACTTCTATGAAATTATTATCCAACAACGTGCTGCATTGGCCAATCAAATAGAGCCAAGCACACATTCCTGGTCGATGACTTTGTAACATGAACGGTGCAATTTCACTGATAATCTGGAGATTGTGTAAACAGAGGATAAAGTTATTATCGCCGTGATAACTTGCCAGAGTTAAAACATTCTGCTATACAGTATTTTGGTGTTGATAAACCTTAAAACTCATTGATCCGTTACTGAAGCTGGACGTTTTTTTAAATCATATTTCATCTTTTCCAACCACTTCCACTTGTAGCGACACTACTCCACTAACACACAGTGGTGTTTACAGTCTGAATGCCCACTTAGCCTGAATTTATTAGACCCAATACTGTCGCTAACAGACTAAAGTTCTTGTTGTCCAATGATTAACATCACACGTTCAATTATCACCTTCAATGTTTACAATTCATCGTTAACAAGACTTATTGAAGACCATCTTGTGAGAGAATCACACCAGCAACAACGCCTTTAACCACTTCTTACCCTCCCCCTTGCTCAGACCACCCCCATCTCAAACTCAGCCTGTATTTAGATCTCAACTACACACCTGTAAAGTTCCATGACTGCATCTTGCACCATTGTGTCACCACCACGGTAATAAAATCTGTTAGACAGACAGACATATAAACACCCGGCAAAGTACTCAAAACCACTTCTGAGATAATGGTGCCTCCAGGACCCGCTTTGGTATTGTTCATAAGGTGAAAACAATACCAGCCATACGCTGTCCCGGCTGGTAAATATTGCCAATCAATATCAATGTGTAAACTGTATTTTCCAAATCAAACAGTGGGTTTACATGACAGTCTAAACTGTCATGTAAGTGCCTTTAAATTGTATTCAGTTCAGGCCCAAAATCAAACAAACCAAAACCTGACCCCCTTGTTTAACTGCACTGGTTGAGTTATTTCACCTCTTCCATGCTTGTGTTATCAAAGAGACTCCATGCTGAAGCTAAGCACAAGACAGTACAGATATTTGAGATTTCAACCCAAAACTTGTAATGTGTTGGCATATTTCCAAACCTGACCTGCTAACCCTGGCAGTGTCAATGTTTCGCTCTCTCAAATGATTTGTCCGCTGTATGAAGAGGCCGTGTTTTCTCTTGCAGAGGGCGCTGCCTCTTGCTGATGAACCTGATGACGGCCCAATCGACCAGGGAGGAGACGCCTCTGGTAAGAGAAACTCATGTTTACCTTGTGTACAGACAAGAACATCCAATTTAATTGATAGGGGGAGTTGAAAACTGCTTTTGAGATGCTTTGAGTCAGTCTGTTAATGGTTTGAAGGTCTGGGAAAGACACTCAACAAAGAAGCATTGTTCTCAGAACAAGTTAAACAAGGTTGTGTTTGTTGGAAAACAGCAAATACAATAGCTTGGTGGGTTCACATTATCTATCTAAAAAGACCACATCTGTAGGATTTGGGCAACTCATAACCTGCCTTGATACCTGTTCCTTTAGGTTCTGAAAGGAACTAGAATAAGTTCGGGTAAGAGGGTCAAATTATATGTTATGAAATTGTTTATATAAAAGGTAATCATCCTAGTTATAATCATGTATCTACACATAATGTCTCTGGGATCGTGGAACAGCGAGGAGTAATCTATCAGAGCGTCTGAGGGGTCTGAAAGTAGACCAGGAACTGAGGAGATTCCAGATGTTAGATGCAGCCCTGGTCTGAATCACATTGAGCTGGATTAACGTAGAAGTGCTGCGACTACAGCGAATTCTGAAGAAGGCTTGATTTTTGTGTTGTGCCTTTGTGTGTTGCAGACCTGCCCACCTGCCTGCTGTGTGTGTGTCTGACTGGTTCAGTGTACTGTGAAGAGGTCAGTCCAGACATGACCAGCGTCCCCACCTTGCCTAAAGAGACGGCGTACCTGTATGCCCGCTTCAACAAGATCAAGAAGATCAGCACCAAAGATTTTGAGGGCATTGGTGAGTCTGGAAACTGTCTCCATCACAAGCTGTTTGATTGTCCAGCCGTGCTGTCAGAACCTGAAAGCAAATGGTTCGTCTATCTTTGTCTAGGTTTTTGATTCAATATTTCTTGATTGAAATATTATACGTCTCAAATGGTAATATTTACAGAAATCCCTTGTAGCATGTGTCATCTGGGTTATCTCAGCTTCGTCTTGGAGAGTACCAATTCATAACAGGTAGCCGGCTTTATACACTGGAGGTGTGGAGTTTGAAAGATGTGGGTGTTTACTAACGATTATGGAAAATGTAGGATGCAGTCTTTTTAAAACTTTACCCAAACGTAAAAGTTAGGATATCTTGGCTTCTGCTGCACAGATTTTGTTTTTGAAAAATCTGTCTCTAGATAATTTCCAAACTTTATGGAAAAGTAAATCACTGCGGTGCCCCTTTAAGGAGGAATAGCTACGTGTCGTCAGCGTAGCGACGTAAGATGTATTGTAATAAACGGAGTAAAGCTAACAGACACATTTTAAGCTGCATTTGTCTTCTAAAATAACAGAACGAGGTGACTCTGACTTTGCCGTCAGAGCTCACCAAATGCTGTCTACAAGGACACAGTGACACCTGTTCACATATATCATATATCAAAAGTCATTCATGAGCAGTGAGCTGACAGAAAGGCCACATATTTAATGAGTGAGGAAATTGTTTGAAGTTGTCTAGTAACTAAATTAATAATGAAAAGAGTTGAATCCCGATTGGTCATAACAATCATATCATACATTAACTTCCCGGTTATTATTGTAAGCAGCACGTCACCATTTTGGTAAAAAGGAAAACCTCAGACCTCAGAGATCTCTGGATTGATAACAAAGCAGGAATACTAGTTCATAAAACAATTTTTAAGGATGCCCCTCTCAATAGGGTCTTGGTCGAACGATTTAGCTGGTTATTTGGTTGCATGTCTATGTGTTTTAAAGAAAACTACAATGTAAGACATCTTTGTGCTGGACAATGGTCTGCAGAGGGACAATAATACTCAAGGAAGATTTGGATGGATATCTGTTCCAGCTTTGTTCACCCGAAGAATGCTCAAACCTGCAAGTGCTGTAATTAGTGACCACCCGTTGTCAGTGTACGCCGTATTTTTATCTGCGACCAGCAGCTCTACAGCTCGTCGCCCGGTTAACTTCCCACCCTTTTGAAATGGAACTGAAATGCATAACCAGTCAGAAACATTGTCAACAAAAGAAAGTGAGACGGCTAAAATGGCTACAACTGCATTAAGAGATTGTTTTACATTCATCAACAGTGACTCTGAAGCGGATTGACCTGACAGGGAACATGATCTCAGAGATTGAAGACGGGGCGTTCTCTAAGCTGACCCTGCTGGAGGAATTGACTCTGGCTGAGAACAAACTGGTCAAACTTCCTATGCTTCCTGCCAAACTGAAATCTTTCAACGCTAACTATAACCTCCTCCAAACCAAGGGTGTCAAAGCAAACACCTTTAAGGTAAACATCATCAACTCTCTCAACTTTTTCAGTTAGGAATATACCAATTATTACTGATGCGAGTGAAGATGAAGGTGGGCCGTCCACATCCTGTGCTGTGTCATGTGAATCTCTTCTCTCACGGCTTTGCTATTCCTCAAGTATATCTGGTTTTGAGCCAGGCATGCTGAAAGTATAATATGTATAAATACACTTTTTCACCTCCCACACAGGGATAGGACAACTCATAACAAATCAACTGAATCTACAGGGTTTCCAATGGTGTGAATTTGTTTCCCCAACAGAAAATGACCACGCTGGCCAACCTGTACCTGGCTGACAACCAGCTGGAAGCTGTTCCACACATCCCAGACAATGTCCGGATCTTACATCTACAGGTTTGAATCTTACTAAAATATACACAAATTACATTTACAGTCATTTAGCAGACGCTTTTATCCAAAGCGACTTACAATTCAGTATCTATCTATACACCGTAGGCACAGCTACAGAAGCAATTTGGGGTGTCTTGCTCAAAGACACATTGACATGCGACTAGTGGAGGCGGAGCCGGGGATCGAACTGCCGATCCTCTGATTGAAGGACGGCCCTGCTCTCCGCTTAGCCAAGTCAACCTAGAAATACATTGACTTCAGAAATGTCTGGCCCTCTTCTTACTATACAAGTTGTTGTGTTCTAGATTTAATTGAAAATTGATGACATTCATGTATTTTTTGCTAGAACGTAGTGAGTGAGACTAATCGATATTGACTCTACCAGCTAAGATTCCCTCTGTTACCGGCTTGACATCGTTTCTATTCGTTTCAGAACAACAACATCACTGAGGTCACCGTAAACACCTTCTGCAGGGCCAATGACACCTACTACCTACGACCTAGCCTCAGCGATGTCCGTATGGACGGAAACCCCGTGGTGCTGTCCAAGTACCCCGACAGCTTCACCTGTATGAAGGTACTGCCTGTCGGACGGTATCGCTGACGAGGCAGACATTTTACTGTAGCCCCTTTGTTGCTGATGGAGCAGCTTTCCCACAACAAAGTGCGAGGGGGATACCTTGACGTTCTGGATTTTGGGGTGCTGGTCCCATGGCGGGGATAAAAGTGTCAATGTTTTTACTTCAGCAAATCTACAAACAGTTTGTGACATTGTCAGGTCGAAATCAAACCATTCACTGCACTGAAGGTGTAGAATTGAGGGAGTTTCTCTACTCTGGTCTTTTTCAGTTCTACTGATTGGTGAGGAGTTCCAGCCATTTAACCGTTTGGCAGGAAGTTGCACACGAGTTGTTAAGAGCTACAGTCACATGAATTAGTTCAAAATCACCTGAGAAACGGCGTGAAGACCTCAATATGCTTCAAACAAACTGGTTTGTCTGATCTCGTCAAAAATCTGCTTTTCTACTCGTTATGCATTTCCTCACTAGAAGGCAGGATGTAGTCATAGCCTCCTTTTTGCTGTGTCCTCAGAATCATGACGTAGTCTTGACACGTTAAATCGTACAAGTGGGGAAAACAACACACACTTACAGACACATTTCACCAAGAAAAGTGATGAAAGAGATTGAGAAAGAATTTACACCACACCTACTTCCACACCGCCACACACCTGGCAACTACAGCATAAAGTGTGTCCAATGCAGCCTTTGACTCCCCCGTTGCAGTGAGGGCGTCAGATGCTGTTAATAACTTGGACAAGCACCTCGTTTGAAGCATAATGAAGCCTTGACAATGGATCTGTAAATGATTAATAACCGAAAAAAGATTGAGGCCACCTGCTCAGAAAACACCTCAGATGATGTGCCTTCTGAACGTCCTTTCAACTGGTGGTGTGGAACTGATGTGACCCTTCAAATGAGTGGGAGGAGTCAACACCTCTACAACCAGAGTCCAATGTATAGTTTCATTTTGACCTGACACTGTACGACCTACATGAATGAGACTAAACAAACTGCTGGTGACTTTGAACCAACACACACACACACACACACGCACGCACACTAGTAACTACCTGTATTTTAAAAAACAAACTTTTTGTTAAACAAATTTTAAAATAGACATTTTTTAACAGTTTCATTTGGAGAGACGTCTGTGAAAGAACACATGGCTGAAGTGCAGTTTTTGATCACGTGTATTAATGTTGTTGCATGCTTCATTTGGCCACCACTGAATGGAAATGTTGAAATGTCACCATTTTAGATGTTTTTGGATAAATCACATTCCAATATTAGATTTTTGTAGTTAACATTTGAGTCTTGGAGACAGTAAGATATTGCAGTATCTTTTTAAACCTCGTCACATGACAGTCAGACGTTTCTGAAGTGGCACTTAAAGGAAGTTGTCTGTGAGCGTAGTTATTATTTCTCATACATCATATGTTGCTTTGAGACTATAGATCCCAGCTGACTTAGACAGCTGACACACACTAGATTGTCCTGACATACAAAGACAGTCTGTATATACTTTTCTCTCAGAAAATGACTAAAATGAACACAACCCTCTGGGTTTTGCTCGGCTATTGTGTGAATTTATTTCACTTTTAATTACTCCATTAAAAGGCCTCTCTATAAAGGTCAATGGCCATGTAGACTTGTTCATCTGCAGGCTTTCTTAAGTGTTTTGTGACTTAGCTTCACTTTGTTTTTTAATTTATAGACTCCGGGTTGAAGTGAACTGGGAAACAATGTATCTATGAACTATAGTAATGTGAAAGTTACTCCTTTGTATTTTGTCTGCTTTTAAAATGTCTCGCTTGTGTCCCTTACTCTTCCCCTCCAGTAATAAAGATTACTTATAAATTATTACTGATGTGAATAAGACAGTCGTGTACAGGAAGAGGTGTATGTGACATGGATATTAATAAAGTCAAACTTTTTAAATTAAAATGCGTTTGGAATTATTGTTGGAGGCTGCTTCACATATTTATACATATATTTAGCAATAGAAAAGTGAGTTTTTGTCAGTGGTTATGAGAGTCCTGTTGTAGTTTAGCTTCAGATTCCACCTGTTGATAGCACCACTACAAAAGTAAATAGAGATTTCATACGTGATCAGGACATTTCGAGCTACAATAGTGACTGTAACTAGCCGAAGGTTAGCAGTGAAGATGTCTTTCTGCGGTTTCTGAAACTTTTTTTTACCCTCTTCAAAGTCATCTTCACTGTGAACAATCTCCACCAATCATTAGAAACTTTTAGGAGAAAACCAAAGACAGTGTAAAATACTGACGTAGTCTCCGTGACGTCACCCACAGGTTTCTGAAGAGCTGTTATGAAGCTCAAGGTGGGGCGGCAGTAACTACAAAGAGGTGGATTGTCGGTGGAGCTGAGAGCAGCTAGCGACCTGGTTCGACACCAACCTGTCCCTAGAAGCAGCCATGCCCACAAATATGCCTAACTTTAAGCCTTAATATAATTTAAACAGCTGAATTATATACAAATTCACCACAGTACAGTTGTCATAAACAGGGAAATTGGCTATGGACACTGTAAAAGACTCGTTTATCTCTCTGTACCCTCTGACACCATTAGTGAGTCTGACAACTACAGGATATATACATACAGACTTGTTTGTTCTCTGTACCAGGCTGTAAATTGTACATTTCTTTCTGCTGTGAAATTGGGCATTTTAACATGGGGGTCAATGGGGATTGACTTGCTTTTGGAACCAGCCTAAAGTGGCCATTTGAGCCATTGGCTATACTGATAATGGCAGAGGCTCATGAGGACAGTTTGACAACATCTGGTTTACAGTAAGCCCTTTAATTGCAACTACAATTATATTTATACGTTAAATCAGCAAATATGGAAAGATGTTGAATATTTTAAACCGTCACCTATACATACGAACCGGAACAATATAAATAGAGCTCTAGCTAACATTGGTAAGTTGTGCATTACACCATTCCCTATGGCTGACTGCAGAGTCTTGTTTGTGCATCTGTGGGCAGAGACAGTCATGTGTGAATGTGTGTGGTTTGAAACCGGTACGTAGCCACCCATCATCTGCAGTCCTGTAGTCCTACACTGACCGGCTGGTTAATGTCGTGGTCTAAGAGCAACAAACAAATGTTCAGATTCCTGGATTGCATGCGACTTCTTTGTGTTTTGTATTTTTGTTTATTTCTCAAAATACATATTTATGTCGGTGTGTCATTAAAGCGTGGAAATCAGCATACAAGGCACTGCCCACACTACAGTCGAACAGTTACAACGGGAGTTACAGTTTTCCACAATAACGCTGAAGAAAATGCAACCGAAGCAAAATAAGAGTTTGGAGCACACGGGCCATTATGGAAAATGTGGGTTAATCCTCCTTCAGCACCGCCAACTTGGCAGAACTTTACATTCTCAGAGTAAACAGGAGAAACAGTTCCATATTGCTTCAGCAGTTTGATTTACTATTTGACATTTTGCTGCTACTTCTTCAATAAAGTCCCATCCTGATGTTTACCATGCCCACACTAATCCACACTACGCCATTGACCTGCAGTTTTCTACTCTGTCGGCCTGAATCTAAGCACTTTGCAGACAAAACTGACATTTTTGGAGGCGTCTTCATGACTGTTTTGAAATAGAAAACATGATGTCAGTACCTTCTAGACAACAAAGAGAAACCCTGTCCCTCTGGACTGACCCTCTGGCCTCTACGCTGGACAAGACAACGAGGCTCCTCCACTGATGGATGAGGGTGAAACCCAGCAGGACTCAACCAGAGGTTTAAGATTAAATCCAACATAAAGTTCCCATTTTATGTCCGTCTGATCCTGATTGATGGACCATCTGGTCTCAAAGAATTATGGATGGACTCATCTTCTCCCCCATAAATGATGCAGGGATGTCCAAAATGACTCATATAGAAAGAAAACTAAAGAAAAACTGCCAAGCTGGCAGAGTCCTCCACACTCATTATGAGGCGCTAATTATTTATCACGTGTTAACAACACACAGACGCACAGCTAATGGAGAGCAGGTGTGTGAGGATGAGGCTGCCAGTTTGAGGTCCATTTCGGTGCAGGTGCGTCTTCACTCACCTGGAAGTGCTGGAAGGTTCTGCGCCGGTCGTCACATCGGTCTGAGAAGGTCCTGACAGTACTGAAGAACAGCAGAAGATCTCTGCTCTCCTCCACCCTGAAATGATGTTGCACACATAATGTATTAGTTCTTTATGAAGCACGTTAGCAGAGCAGCAGCTTCAGTCCTCCATCTGTGTTCAAACAGGACGTGATCAGGTACAGTGTTGAGTGTCGGTCAGGACGTTATGGATTGACTAAAACTGAAATATATCTGCTTACATTTCTATTTGCAATAAAAACAATGTACAGTTGCAGTTTGTGGGACTGGTTTAGTTTCGCAGGTACTATATTTGGTCATTAAAAGAGGCAGTCAGTCTTCACTGAAGGGTTCAATGTTAACACCATTTGTAAATGGAATGCATTTAATTGCGCCTTTCTACCTTACCGAGCACAGCGCTTTACATTCTCTCATTCACACACCAGTGATGGCAGGCAGCCACCATGCAAGGTACTGGCCTGCCCATCGGGTTCAGCGTCTTGCACAAAGGCACTTCGACATACAGACAGGATGAGCCGGGGCTCAAACCTATAGTATCTCAAAATACACAGTAAATCAAGCATTTACCCATCCTCCAAAAACTGCAAAATGTAAGTTTTAAAAAAAAAGGTGCATCCCAATACTCCGTATGCTTCATATCACAATGGTAAAGTAAAAAAATAATCTGTGTTTTGGTCTGGTTCGCTTTGTTTGAGTGAGCCTGGGACATTCTGTTACAGGCTTTCCAGAGTTTTCCATGGGGGCCCAAGGCTAGACGGCAGCCGGGTGAAGTTTCCAGATGACTGTTATTCCACAAAGAGCTGATGGAAACATGGCAGCACGCTCCCATATAGTGGAGCACTACCAAAAAACACAAAGAGAGAGGGACGGAGAGAGAGATACCGATTGATCCCTTGTTTGATGTTGTTTGGAACTCATTTGGGCTCTGATTGATGCCCATCTGATTACATCTTCAGTGTGGATCCAATTAAACCATACTGGTAACAAAAACCTTATCATGCAGCGACTCTAATGAGATGTGAGGACTTGGAAAGCTTTAGTGGCTTCAGTTCATCATCCCAGAGATGAAGTAAGATTTGTTTGCAGCAAACAGCGGAAAAAAGATCAAATTAAACAAGAAACACTTGGACTAAAATCTTTTGGATGCTCCGTTTTAGACATATTTTGGTTGGTAGAAAAATAAATACTGATGTCCTACAGACATTAAGGCTGTCACTTCAGAATATAGTTTTTGCATCATTTGGTTGAAGAAACTCAAACACAACCCATGTAGCTTACTCCTGATATATGTTGTAGGATTTATGCTCCGATCACTTGAGGTGCCTCATTGAATGATGAACCAATAACAGTCTCAGATTGATCTGTTTAAGAGCTTTGTGTTAGTGAAAATTGGTATGCAAGAGATCAGAGTAACAGTGCATTTTAGGAATGCTCCTGCTGCAGTATGGAAGTTAACATTGTTACTACACAGCAAAACTAGTTTAGTTACACCGTCTGGAAGATCTGCATGTATACTGTAAGGATCTGTGTCTTTATAGCAACGACAGTCTTAGAAGTAAACCACCTGCTGCTGCCCTGACCGCAGCCCAGTCTGGCTTCACACTATCAGCCTTGGACCAGGAAACACAAACAGCCTGGATCAGCAGGCTGGGGGGTCAGACCGGTTCGTGACTTAGTCAGCTTGGATCCCCAGATGACAAGAGCAGGAATGTGTTTTCATGGCAGAGCTTCAGGAGGATGTTTGACATAATCCAGTCTGCCTTGAGTCCGTTAGGTCCATCCCACAATGCACTGCTTCAACAGTGTTTCCACATCGCAGTCACTTGCCCACTGCTGGGCTACAAGAGTTCTCAACTGTACTGCTAATAAACAGCTGGATGAAAGTAAGAAAACGGCCACACTCCGTGTTCAGCTAAACTGTTTGGTAATGCAGCCGAAGTCTCCATTTAGCTCTTCTCATTCACACATTTTTGGTTTCTGTTGTCGTATGAAACAGTGTTTCAATTGCAGCTCATAAACCCGTTAACCAGGCAGTGATCGTTATTATATGATCCCGACGTCGTCTGTTTTCTTCAGTATAACAACGTGTGACAACAGTGATTGTGACTGTGAGGACAGCCAAGCAGCCAGCAGGTGGCCACACAGCAGCACTGTTGTGTGACTCTGACAGAAGACTTTTACTTCACAGTCTGTGTGGTCACGGTGTTACTTTGAATACTAACAAAGTTAAGGAACCACTTCAGGGGGGACGAGAGGACAGATGTGGAAACACGTGTCTGCTGAATGATAATAATAACCAATAAAAATCAGTGTCAGTGTGTTTATCTTGAACAATTCAGACCAGCCTGATTTAACAGAGATTATCGGTCTCATTTGGACGGTAGAACTACGACTCTCTCCCTCTCAGACTCTGAGAAAGCAGCAGTTTGTCAGAATCATTATCTCCAGTATTTTTCCATCTGCTTTTTTTGCCAGATTCTGACGACTGGACCATACAATCCAGATGTGGTTTGGCTTCAGATATAGAGCAAATCAGATTTCTGCTCTTGTGGTGCAGATCAACTGTACAGAACAGACGCTTTCTGGCAGACTGTGTGTTATCGGGACAGAAAACGCACCTGAGCAATTAAACAGATTTACTGTGGTGGTTAAAATGACTCAAATAGCTCTGTTGGAGGCTGTTAAAAATATAGATAATCTGCAGCGGATCACGAGCAGACCTCCACATGAGCTCAGCTCACCAGCTGGTACACTTATTTTCTGTTCATAAACAACGATGGAAGTGGGGCAGACATATTGTTCTGTGCGGCCCTGAAGGAGCAGAGTAATGGGAGGTGGCTCTGCCCACTCCCAGATGACAGTATTGGGAGCAGGTGTTGGGAAGTCACACACCTGGAGCTGATCTCCTCCTCATGGGAGAATGAAGGACAAACACTGAGTTCACTGTGGGTGGTGCAAGTTGAGGAGGTCTCAGTCGATTTTGCCCAAAAATCGAAAGGGGTGAACTTTTGTTGTAGGTTGAACCGGTAAATTGGCTCGCGGAGCGACTAAATTAGTTTTTGGTTTTCCAGTTATATTAATAGGGCTCCTAGAAGAGCTAGATTACCGTTTTGTGATAAGACTTTAGGTAAGTGTTATTAAAAACCCTTGACAGTTGACAGTTGAAGAGGCAAAAAATATTTAAATTTATGTCTGAAGTCGCTGAAGGAGGTTTTACCTTTCACAGTAGAATGTCTGCTCACTACACAGCTTAGCTATTCAGATTAAAGATGAAACTGAGATGTAATTTGTGATCCACTAGCTTCGACCACAGTGAACACGATCCCTGCAGTGTATAAACTGCCTGGTAGAAATGAACCGGTGACTGAAGCTCCAGACCTCACTCGGTAAACCTCAACAGACCTGATTGAGCCCAGATATTTAACAGCCACCTCAGGAGAAGAACAGGTGTAACTAATACCAGTGATGGCTGTGCACCATCTGGAGGTAGGTGTGCCAGTAAGCCAGCACACCTAAATGGAATGCAGCCATTCTGAATGTAATCAGTTACATTTAGTGCCGTGAGAAAGGCGTATTGTTCGTGAGTAAAGAGACTGAGTGAGAACAGTGCATGTGGGAGTGAGGCGGTTCAGCTGTTTTCAGTTTGAGATCTTCTACTTTTAATAAATACTTGAGTTAAACTAAACAGACAGTTTCATAATAATATTAAATATGTAGAGCTGCATAAATGACAACTCACTGGCCACTGGGTTTCAGTCCAAAGACCAGTCACAACGCACCAATTAGTCCGATATCTGACTCCCACATGATGAAGTTCAGTTTAACCGACTAAATGCTCCACGAGGCCAAAAGTATGTGGCCACCTGAACATTAAAGCCACGATGCGAGACAGAGGAACATGTGGTTCCAAAACCATAGACATTATTCTGCTACAACGGCCTCCACTCTTCTGGTTTCAGGATTTGGAGACTGACTGCAGGGATTCAAGTGCATCAGTTATGTGACGTCCATCACTGACGTTAAGGTCTGGCTCACAGTTTGCAATCCAGTGTATCACAAAGGTGTTATTTCTACGATATAAAATACCTCAGCACATATCCCACATGTGAGTTTTGAGGCTTTACGCGTCTTAAAAAGGCACTAGTCCGAACACGAGCGTGACTTTAGCCGAGTAGTGACATGAATTCATACGACCGGGGTTTATTTTCTCTACTTCTGATTTACCAGGAATGAAATCAGTCTGTTAAGGTTATCGTGAAGATTTTCCTTTATTGAATGCATGTTGGGTCACTATATCGCAGAATGAGGTAACACAATAATGGTTGAGCTCATGGCTCTCTGATGAAAGCCCTTTGCAGTGTTATGAACCGGGTGTCTACGGCAACATTCCCGGTAAAAATTCATACAACGTTTGAATCTCAGAGAAGTGAGAGGCACAAACACACCTGTTATTACTGCTAATCACCGCAAAAGAAAACAAAAATGAGATCTTTGAGATTGTAACTTTAAATTGACTAGAGATGCATTTTTACACAATTCCTTTGATTGATTAATGTTGATTATAACAAGTAATCAATGATCATTAAGGTAAATACCATTACCAAGAGGTTGCTCACTCTGAAAAGGTTTGTTGTTGAAGAAAAGGTCTATTAAATGTTTTTGTTGTATGTGTTACTTGGCCACTAAAGCCGATTCTTTGTATGTGCTTCTTCTGTAATTCTTGTTTGTAAAAACTATTCCTGTGAAGTTTTGGATTTACGGGTATAATGGGGAGGGTTGGGGTGGAATCTTTTACAACTGTAATAATTTGAATGATGCAGCTGTTCCATGCATGTTATACTTTTTTTATTTCCTACGCGGCAAACATGTACGGTGGGTTTAATGGAGAACCAATAAAATTGCTAAACAAAAGAAAGTGGATTCTGATTCCAGATTAATGCGACAACTCACAGACAGAAGAAGGGTGGTTGGAGATGATGTGACATAAATACACGGGGAGGAGTGATGAGTAAGATGTTCTTTTCAGATCAGCTTCACATCAATCTGCATCATCAGTTCTTACCCAGACAGGAAACTGCTGAAGTTCTGCAGGTCGCTGGCGTCCATCACCACGTTCAGATCACTGATCGTCCGCTCACATCCTGAACCCTCCTGCAGGACAAACGCACAATCAAAGACTCAGAGTCACTTCATCAGTGCAGTGATGAATGATGACGTATTGTCAAATGAAGCCTATGTGTGTACATGATCTGAGAAGAGAAGACAGCAGAGTGAGCAGGAAGAGACAAGACATTCAGAGCTGCTGATTCATGTTGCATGTGGGTAAATTAAGTGCAGTAAAAACATAGTTGAATGAACTTTATAAGCCTCATGAAGGCAGTTTTTATTGTCGGACTGTTTCATCAGACTGCACTGGTTTTAGTTTGGCGTATCTAAAAGAGAAACACTGACAAAACAGTTTTCAGATATAAGTTGTACTAGCTCACAGTATGTTAGAATGTAAAAAGCAAGTATTAAACAAACTATAATAAAGAGTAAGAAGAGAGTGTTTGTTTACAAAAAGGACTGTTCCCCAAAAAATGTATTTTCAAAACAAGTCAAGATTTCAGAGCAGAAACAATAGAATTAATTTTAATGACACTTCTTCAATGAAACCAGCTGTTCTGCTGGTTGATCCAGTCACAATGAAAACCAGAAGACTTCTGGACCGACATGAATAATACAGAATCTCCCTACAATACAATTATAATTACTCTTGACTGTACATTTACGGTATCAGCTGATGTCAAGGGGTCATTAAAATGTGCCTCGAACAGGCCTGAAGGTAAAGCTATGTTTCGAACCTCAAACCTTTTTTGGTAAAAAAAAAAAATTAAATACTTAAAGTTGGCATCAAAGGTCGGATCAGATTCTTAAAAAAATGTATGTTTTGATCAGATAGTTCCTGATTCAAATCATGTTTCCAGTTATTTAGCGATCATGCTTGTGTTTAGACAAAAATTTAAAGAGTTTTACAGAAAAACATGTTTATATTTTTCAGAATAAGGTACAGATAAAATGATCGTTACTGAAACTTGAGCAGGATTTCACAACTCTATTTAGAGAAACGTTTTGAGAAACTTCTCTTTTACATGAACATTAAGAGGAGACATGTAAAATGTAGAATTGAGACACTTCTCTAATCTGAACTTACTTGGTAGTAGTGGCCATAAAATAAATACAATTTTTAAATGAGAGCTTTTACTTTGAAGGTGACATCTACACCTAAAATGTGATCAGTTTTTTTGTTTTTTTTATTTGCTTATTTGGTCGAGACAGTGCACAATAATAAAACATTCCTGTAAATGAGCCAGAGTTAGCCAAGAGGCTATTTTTCATCTGTAGTCCCGATTGTTGCCGTTGGCGTGACTTTACCTTGTAGCACCTCACACTGTACTTTCCCTCTGAGGCCGTTTGGTCTGATGATTTGATGACATTTAAGACCTCACAGTGATTATTTTTTATTGTTTTGCATGCCTGACAGCTGCTGCTGAGGTCTGAGTGGAGCTACTTAAATCTCAAGTGTGCCATTGACCCCTCCATCAGTGAACAACTAAACACAGGCCTCTGTCACCCTCTGCTGGCTGGACGCATCATCAGCATTAATTCTGTTGAGTGTGTTACCGGAACCTTTTTAAACGTTCCTTTTGTCCCTCTTTTCAGAGGCTAAAAAAGGCTAAAAGCTACAATCGATCAACTCCACTTGTCCGGTGCCTTGGCGAGGGGACCAATGGTGGCCACTGTGGACCAGACTCTCTGTCTCTTCAACACATTATTTAAACAATTAAATGACTCACCTTGACCTCAGACAGCTGGAACTCCACCTGGAAGACCAGTTCAGAGCAGTGACCTGATATACAGAGCTGCTGGACCAGCTTTCTGCCACCTAGTACACACAAACACACACACACGCCAGTGTAAGTACATTATTACACTACGAAGGACCCACGTTTCTTGGCCCATTACTGCGGCCAACTGTCGATCAGTGGAATAGTGTGAAACCACCAGGATGTGATTCACGCTTGGCAATGATTCAAATACATTTTTTTTTGATGTATGGCCATGATAATATTAAGCATGGGAACAAGGTACTAAACTGTATTAATGCTATAATAAATAGTATAGTCTAGTAAATGGAATAATATCCTGTGCATGTAGCTGTGCTCCTGGTTATTTTGCTGATTCATTGATTAATCATTTAGTCTATAACACATCAGAGAACACTGTGCTCTTACTGCTCTGCAGAGTCTTTGTGGTGCAGCTGTTCAGACTGATGCCATTCCTCTGTGTCTGTAGCTTGAGATCCTCCTCCAGCTCCTCCACCACCTCCTTCAGCCTGGACAGCACCGTCTCCTTCTCGTCTCCTCGTCTCTGTCCACACATACACGACCTGTGGAGACGGACAACAAACTGTTCAGTGACTCTCATGATAGCCCACGAGCCTTTGCAATGCCCAGGTTTACTTCAAAGTAGGCAGGAAGACTAGATTTTAAGATGTACATTTGTATGTGGGGGAAATGCTACAGGTTAAAACAGTGAAAGATGGTGTAAGAGAGATTTAAACATGAATAAAAACGACACTCACATGGCATCCTGCATCTGCCCTCTGAAGTCAAACGTTATGTCCTTGAGGTTGTCCTTCTGTTGGCACCGCAACGCTAAAACTTCAGCCTGAAGAAGCTCAATCTGAGCCTCCAGCACCGTCACCTCCTCCATGTTCTCTTCACTCATCTTCTCCATCATCCTGAAGGACAAACAAACATTTGGAAGTTTCAATGGGTGAAGAGAGCAGCATAAAAAAGTAGTACAGTGTGGGGAGTATTCAGATTATTTACTTATGTAGTAATACCACAGTGTATAAATACTAAGTATTAGCATCAAAATATGCTTAAAGTACCAACAGTAAAATTGCTCATTATGTAAAATGGCCCATTTTAGAAGAATCTATATCATATTACTGGATAATAATAAGTGATGAATTAATGTGTTACAAATGTTGAAGCTAGAAAAGTTGGAGCTAATTTCAACTACTTTATATGCTGCTGGGAATCTTAATCTTTAACAAAATATATAGTAATTGATGAGTTGATTTATATTCTGCATTATTAATCAGAATCTGCAAAGGAACTTAAGCTGTTAAATAAATTTGGTAGAGTAGAAAGTAGAGGAGTACAAAGTGACATAAAATGGAGACACTAAAATAAAGTAGTAGCTCATAATTGCATTTAAGTACAGTATCTTATTTACATTCCACCACAGGTCTGATGATAAGTTAAACGTGTTTAACGTTACAGTCCTGTACATATCCTTCTTATATACAGTCTCAGGTACACACAGGTGTTTTCAGTTTCTCTTGATTAGACTTCTTCTCAGGACTTTGTGGAGGTGTATCAACTAATTTGTTGACATCTTCCTGAGTTTCACGGTAGCTTTATTAAACCTGTTAAAGTGGGATAAATAAATAACACGTTTATAATTCTTATATTTGAATAAATTCCCTTCTACCTGAGAAGAGGTCTAAACAACCAGAATAACTGAAAACACTAGCGTTAATTAACTAAAATTATGCTGACTTTAACAACAAAATAAAATGCCCTTGGTGAAGTTAGACTTAACTGTCATGACTAACGTTAACTTACCGTATTCTTCTTCGTTATAGTGTCGATTTATTTGAATAAAAGTAACTTAAAAGCTCTGTATTAAACCCTTATTTCCATTAACGTTACCTGAATGATTCTCGATTCTTCTTCTCTCTGACAACCAAAACAGTTTGGAGCCTCGCGCCCTCTGGACTCTCCCACTTTCCACGTGTCGGAGGGGGGTGGGATAAACTATTTCTGAAGAAGGGTGAGACTGCGTGCCTCTATTTTGATACAAATACTGCAAATGTTTAGATATAATTAATTTAAAAGTACACTTGTTACATTTATTGTTGTATTATTGTTAATAGGTAATAAATAATAAGCTAACAAATTATGAGACACCCCCGTAACTCTAACAGCTGTGACGGTCCAGAATGATTACGGCAGTTTTGAGCAAATGGAGATTTTTTTTTTTTTAATTTCTACACGGATAACCAAGATAATTAAACATTTCCATAAATGACCGTATTGGCAACCTTTTTGCGTATTTTTATTTTTTTCTAAAGCTGAATATCACACAGCGGAACCTTTCAGCTCTGCGGAAACAAGCGCGGAAGGGAAAGTCGGCAGGATTGCATTGCAGCCCCGGACAGAGTTAAAGGGAACACCACTTGGATACATGTGAGGTAAACATTTGTTTTGTTTTTTATCTATATAAACGCAACCGATAATTTGATCGTGATAACTCTACCAGCTCTGTTATAAATTAGATTTTTTAGAGGTATTAGTTTATTTAGACTCTATGTGTAGTATGATTTTGCACGAGGACTGTCTCTGGCTGCTCACTGGCTGCTGGCTCACACTCACCTCACGTTAGCTCCACTAAACACACTGAGCTGCATGGAAACGTTGAACTCCACTAGTCGTCATTTTACTTACTTATTTTCCTCTTTATATCGTAAACTGTCCACACAGGGACTATGGTTGTGATCATGTGGATCTCTTCTTGTTTAATTTGTGTCGCTTAAAAAAAAATGAGGTCCACCTTGCTACAGCTAATGCAGTCTAACAACAGCTCTGCAATTAGCCATGACCGTTATAATGTTTTTTATGTTAAAGAGGTTTGTTAATTCAACTGTATGGTCATTTAGTAGGATATAGTTTGTGGTTTAATAATCACTTTAAAGTGTTGTATAAACCTAAAGAGTGCAGATCCCTTCGAGCTGACAGAGAGAGAAACAACCTACACTCCTGCACAAATGTTAGTGATGTTTATCAGAGCTGTCATCAGTAGGAATCAGTCCAAAAACCATAAATCAGAAGTAGACAGGTTTTTTTGCCAAGTAGGTTTTGACATAGAAGGCATTAGCCATGGTATTTTAACTGTCACAATCAAATAGTAATGTAGAATAAGAAGGGAAACCAGTACTGTAAAAGTCAAGAATAATAGATCTAAAAATATATGTAAAAAATATGTAAAGTATATCTTTTTTTAAATGTAAAGAGCTGTACTGTGTTTAAAATGAAGAGGATGGAATGTACAAAATATTGACCAAAGAATGTAATATATTCAGTTTTCACTGAGGCTGCAAATCATCAGAGTTGAGAACCTGAAGTAAAGTGAACAGTGTTTTGTTGATAAATTAAACTCAACATTGATCAATCAAACTTTTCTGACACTGTGTGTTCCTATAAAGTCAGCCCCCGTGCACGGTACCTGACCCCTTCTGTTTGTTGTCCGCACAGTGTTGTCGTGGAATCGGCGCTATGAAGCGGCTGTACATCGGCGGGTTGAGCCACTCGGTCACCCAGAAGGATCTGAAGGATCGATTTGGAAAGTTTGGAGATGTGGAGGACGTGGAGGTCCGGACCAGGAGGGACGACGACGGTGAGACGTCCAAACACTCAGACGGCCATGATGATAATTACTTTTGTTGAGATTCCTCAGTGACCATTGTGTGTGTTCTGACTCTTGTTCTTCTCCTGCAGGTGTTCCTTATAAAACCTTCAGCTACATTAACATCAACATTTCAGACGCCGACCTGAAGAAATGTAAGTGAACTGAGCCAAACATCTGAACATGTCCTTTAGTATCATTCAGCCTTCAACAGGAGAAAACACCGTCAGTGTGAGGAGATAACACTCTTCATAGATCAGGTATCTGTAAATTGATTCAAACAGGAGGATTTGTTTTGTGTTACTTTCCTTTCAGCAGAACTGACCTCAGAGCTTGTGTTGTATCGTCATGTTGACATCAGTGTGTTTCCTCTTCAGGTATGACGGTGCTGAACAAATCCAAATGGAAAGGAGGAACTCTGCAGATTGAAACAGCCAAGGAGAGTTTCCTGAACAGGTGCAGTTATGTTCACCTCACCATGAAAGTCTTCTGACTGTGGGGCAAGAGGAAGTTCACATATTTATAAATCAGGCAATTTTATTTTAAGTGGGCTGCAACTAACAATTACCCTCAGTATCGACTAATCTGAGCTTTATTTTCACAGTCGATATAAATAGTTTTTGTCTAAAAAAAGTTGTTGCCTTAATTTCCTAGAGTCCAAGGAGACCTCTTTAAAGCCTGTTTTTATCCAAACACTTGTTCAAAGTTATTCAGTTTACAATGATATAAAAAAGAAAACAGCAGTAAATTCTCACATTGGAGAAGCTGCAACCAGAGAACGGTTGTTATTTTTACTTGACAAATGATTTCTGTCTGAGATTTTGTACGCTGGTGTAAAAAAACGCATTAAGAAGGATCAGAATCAGAACCGGTTTACTGCCAAGTACGTTACACATACAAGGAATTTGGCTTGGTGATTGGTGCGTGACAATGTGCACTCACTGTTAACAATTTCAGGTTCTGATCAACACCAAACTTAGGAAAAGGGAAAAGATTTATCTTTCCAAAATAGATCAGTAGTTCTGAGGGATTCATTTAAATAGATTCCAGAGATTCTTGAGGGTAAAGTGTCTCCTTTCAGAAGCAGAGATTATATTAAATCATAGGAAAATATTCAAGCTCCCTGAACCACACACTGATGATCTATGATGATTCTTCCTGATCCCGGTGCGTTGGTGGTGTTTGTGTCTCAGACTGGCTGAGGAGCGGCAGACGGCGGAGGAGCAGCGCCTCCAGCAGCCTGAAGTGGAGGACGAGAGGCAGAAGATGCTGGACTCGCTGAGCAAAGCCGGCGTGGACAACTTCACCATGAAGGCCGCGGTGCCGGGGACCGAAGTACCGGGACACAAGGTCTAGTCATCTCCTGCTTCCTGTTTCCGTGTAGACGCTACATCCAGTAGAGCCCAAGCTAAACTTCTTCTTTGCACAATTAAGGGTAATTTTCTGTGTGTGATGTGCAGCAGCATGTGTGAGGCTGGAGGTGTTGACTGTCCTCTCGGTGCTCTGGTTTTCAGGACTGGGTCGTCAGTAAATTCGGGCGAGTTCTCCCCGTCCTGCAGCTCAAGTGTCAGAAAGGCAGCCGAGCTCGAACGGTGAACTACGACCCGTCCAAATACAGCCACAACATCCGCAAGCTGGACCGGTCCACTGTAGAGCAGCACACACCGGTCACCCAGCTCACCTGGGAGGAGCAGGGAGGAGACGATGACATCAGCAAGAAGAGGCGGGGAGAGTTCCCCCCGTACGAGCCGCCGAGACGCAAGAAGAGTCGGAAGGACGTGGTCAAATCCCACAATGCTGAAGGCGGAGCCGGGTAAAGATGTGATGGTTTTCACAGTCTTATCCATGAAAGAATATTAGATTTAATATAGAAACTGATGGATTTCTTTGGATCTATCTTTTTTGATTTATCAGCCTCAAATATGTTTTGTGTCACAGATACTGTATCCTGTATATTCAGTGTAAGAATACAGCAGAGATGAGGACTCCAGTCTGTAATTGTGATTTTTACTTAACTTAGTTTGGGTCATCTTAATCCACAACCACTGTGTTGTTATTTATAATGTGAAGTTTGGTGAAGAACACTTTATTTATTAAGTATTTCTGTATTAAGCTTAACAGTAACTTGAGGTGTTTTATCAGCAGGTCTCCTCCTCGTCGTTCTCTTCTTAGAGTTAAGACTGTTGTCTCCGTCGATCACACCGAGGCTCGTCGCTTCACCAACGGAGACCAACCACCGACGAACCACAGGCTGGCTCAGAGGAGGACGCCACGTTCCACTGACTGGGACATCGATTCAGACGAGGAAATCCACAAAATGGTGACGGCCCAGGACACCTCCCATGCTGCACTGCAGCAGCAGCAGCAGGAGGAGGAGGAGGAGGATGATCAGCTGGAAGTAGTCGGACTCGACTACTTGGTGAAGTCTGGGTGGAAAGGTAACGGACATGTTTCTGTTTTTTGAGAACTTGAATTTGTAGAGGAGCTTCTGAAAAATCTGATTCAATTATACCTCGGCAAATACAGAAAATATATGTATTGATAAATATATATATATATATATATGATATAAATAATGTGTAAAAGAATGAAGTCCCATAATAGAATGCATTGAGATAATATAAGAAACATTTTTTTAAGAATTCAAGGAAAGGTTATAATAATTTAGGTTTTTTAAGGACCAACTCGTAGTTCTATGAAAGTTTGTGAATTTATTCCCTGAACCTCAGGATGTATCTGACAAAAAACTCTTTTAAATAAGCTGTCAAAATGTGACAAACTGTGCAAAAACCAGCTCTTCTTTGGGATTCCAGGAGGTCCAGACCACAAAGACGAGAATGACTACGACTCCGGAGACACAGATGAACTATTCGCCTCCAGGAAGCCTCCTCTTCCTCCACCGCAGCAGAGATCCACTCCACAAGCTCCAGCACAGCTCTCAGGAAACGACAGGAAGAGAAAGATGAAGAAGAAGAAAAGTACAGCTGGAGAGGAAGAGGACGATTCGTCAGGTGCTGAAGAAGAGGTCGCCTCCAGGAAACCGTCTGGTGAACACAGTTCTCAGAACCAGAGTAAGAAGATGAAAGTCCTCCCTGTAGTGAGTCTCCCTTCCTCAGAATCAGATGAAGAAGATGAAGATGAGGAGGAGTTAGAATCGGCTGATTGCAGCTCAGATTCTGACTATGAAGCCATGTTCTCTAACGTCACTCGTCTGGAGATCTCCCTGGCTGATCTACAGAAGCTAGCTGGGGAATCCTCTGGACAGGAAACTAACCTCACGGCCGGCTCTTCTGAAAGACCTGCACCCAAGAAAGGCACAACGCCGGAGGAGATCCTCGCCGCCATCATGGAGGACAGCAGCGACGACGAGCAGCAGCAGAAGAAGAAGAAGAAGAAAACAAAAGCCGTCAAAGTGTCAACGCCGCTGCCCGCATTCCAGGGAACCAGAGCGCTGACCAAAGATGCTGTGAAAGCAGCACCTCCCTCTACTCCTCACAGTGAGTCCTCCTCCAGCGAGGAGGAGGAAAGAGAAAATGCTCCCCCTGCTCCTCACAGTGAGTCCTCCAGCGAAGAGGAGGAGGAGCAAAGCGAAGAAGAGGTGGAGGAGGAGAAGCAGACTCCTGTCCGGGTACCGTTAGGAGCTAAGGAGGAAGAGGAGCGTCAGAGGAAGACCAACATGAGGAGGCTGGCTGCTGTCCAGCAGAGACAGAAAGAGGCTGAAGATCACAAGAAGCTCATCCAGGGAGCTCTGTCCAACCTGGTGGGTGTTCACCTGTGAGAGGGTCTGGTTTAACCTCTGAGGGTTTAGTCCAGTCCTCTCCTCCTTAAAGGGCTGTTTGAGGGTTCAGATCTGGCCTTAAGTGGTTCAGGGTTAGCTTTTGGTTGAGGCTGTGGGGTCTGGATTGTGCCAACGGACATATTTTAGAATTTATAATGTAAATACAATATAAACTAATTGGTTAAACCTGAGCTGAATCTTTTCCTTGGATTAATATAGTTTAGGAAACAAAACAGATTAACTAAGTTTGCATCACAAACCTCTAATTGAGATCTTTGTGGGTTCGACTTCTATTAGTTTTCAATTTATTTGTTTAGCTCAAAATCACAGATTTGCCACAGAGGCCTTCACATTCTGCACAGCATAAGACCTCCTCTCTCAGATAAAGGAAAAACTCTGATTTCAAATATAAAGCCCTTTAAGTCTGACTCACTGGAGGTGGATTGTGGGTAAAAGCCTCATATTGGCTCCATATTTCGTCGATATTTTACCCTTACGAGCAATCAGTTGTTTTTCAACACATCCAGTGAATACGAAGAGAACATTAGCGCTCACACGGTATTTGTCTCCGTTAGGATGCTCCAAAGGCAGGAGCAGGGAAACACATCGTCTTTGGCTCTGATGAGGATGATGATGAAGATGATGATGAAGACGAGCAGCAGACGACCTCAGAGGTCACGACGCCAAAGAAGACGCTGTCCCAGGACGGCCAATCAGAGGACGATGCAGCAGTCAGTGAGAAGGAAAGAACCAAAGGAAAGGTGAGTGAGGAGTTTATAAATGCCTTTTTTATTTATTCATTATTATTCACCCAAAGATTTGACAAAGTGACATGAAACCTTAAATCTAGTGTGTGTGTGTGTGTGTGTGTGTGTGTGTGTGTGTGTGT